TGCTCTGGAGTATCTTTGCCTGATTTTCCATGTAGAACTGACTCAATATTGAGTGATATGCATAAAAATTCATTCATAGTTTCTGCTATCATCTTTAACCTGGATCTCTTCAAAGCATGTGGACTTAATCACAGCAACAGTCCTTAAGAAATGTAACCATGAACTGGCTAAAATCTACAGTTTGCCTTGCTGCTTCTTGATTTCCTGCTTGATAGAAATCCTCTTTTCTTGTTCCAATCTGTAAGAATCTTTCTATCTGCCTTTTAGCCTTTTATTTCTACTGATTCGCACGTACTAGAGGCTCTAATCAACTCTGAATTGGTTAATCATCTCACAGGGTCTTCTTTCAGATAAGCAATAGTTTTCGCTTCTCTAGGTAAACTGCTGAAGTGTTAACGATTATTGCTGAGTCTATCAAACCTTAGATAAGTATGGTGAAGTTCGGACTATTCCTTTGCGTATCACAAAGGCATTTGACAGGGTTTGACATGCTGATCTTCTACACAAATTGGAAGCTTATGGTATTTCTGGATTAATTTTTGAACTGATTCAGTCTTTTTTATCAAATCACGAAATGAAAGTTGTCTTCTAGATCTTTTGGCATTAATGCAGGTGTCCCGCTGGGATCTATCCTTGGATCTACGACCTAGTTGGTGCCATCAGCTCTCAACTCGGTATCTATGTTGATGGCACGTCTTAATAGTAATTCCTGTCTTAATAGTAAGCCGGATCGGTTCGATGACGCCAATTTGGTACCTGATCTACAAAATGACCTACATCCTGTAGTTAACTGGGATAAATGGGTTGTTAATTTTAACACCCCCACCCCAACATGAAATTACACCCTGTTAATGCTTTGAGAGACATCTTTCTACCTGCTATCAGCATGGCTAATGCTAACCTCCATGTTGTACCTTAGGCAAACGTTTTCTGCTGACATGAAGTGTAAAGATTCAATCGAATCAATTTCTGCGTCTGTTGCTGGGAAAGTTGGTTCTATATGTCCTGCTACACAATTTCTTTTCGCCACCATCTATCTTTCGTATTTATAAGCCTACCATACGACCATGGTTAGAACATTGTTGCCACACCTGGTCCGGTGCTCCTGCTATATATCTAGAGATTCTTGATAAAATCCAGACAAAAATATGCAGTGTTATTGGTCCTGACCTGGCATCTCGCCTTCAGTCACTTTCCCACTGATGTAATGTAGCTTCCCTCTGCCTTTTCTATAAATACTTTCATGGTAATATTTCTGATGAGCTTTCCTCTTTGGTACCTAGACTTTATGAATTTAATCGCAGTACTAGATTAGTGGCAAAGTCTTGTTATTTATATTTGGAATGGATTGATGTAAACATAAGACCTGTGATAACAGTTGCTTCTTTCACACTTCTTGCTTGTGAAACTTTCTTACGGTTTCTTGATTCTCAGTCAAATTTAATCTTCGAATATTTAAATGCAATGTCAATCGTTATCTTCTGTCTTCTTAATTCGTGTTCCTTAATTGTTCTAGCTCCTTAAGGTTTTTCTTATATTCTTTCACACACAGCAGCCCACCACCCTACGTATTCGTGGTTTTGTTGCTTTGCTTGGAATGAAAGATTAAAAAAAATAATTTATATATGAATTTCGCACACACATAAATACACACACGCACACACATTCACTCACACACTCACACACACATATATATATATATATATATATATATATATATATATAGATAGATAGATATATATATATTGTGTATTTAGGCAGCAATCCTTCATTTATGCATGTTTCATTAAAACCAACAGACAAGGTGCTACGATTAAGCTTTTTTATTTATTTTTTCTTGTGATCGACCAAGTGTTTTCCTTTTTGGACACAGAATGTGTAGAAACTGTTCAAGTGTTCTATAATTCCGAGCGCTTTCGGCTATACTTCTAGCCATTATCAAGGATGATTTTATTTTTTTCCGTTTAAGTGTGTGCGTTATGTGTATGTTTTTATTATTATAGAGATGTTTTATTTTCCGAACACGGTTAGCACATTGTGGCCTTGTTCGTTGTTAGTATTGTTAAGTGTTGGCTTTTTCTTTTTTTTTTTTCTTTTTTATGATTAAGGTTTCCATTATTTTTAATCTTTTTTTACAGATCGATGAGGTTATTAAGTTTGTATTTTTTACTAGTATGTTTCGAATAGAGTCTGGTAAGTTTGTGCGAGTGTTTAACTGGATTCTAATAGAGCTGAGATCAGATAGGTGCAACGTAAGGCATCTGGATAGGCATGTAGTAGTGTGACCGCTGTAATTATTTATGAATTCGCTTTGATCAGGAACACAGTTCCATAAGGGGAATTTCAACTCATAGATAATGTTCGTTCGTTTTAATTTTGACTTTGCTGGTGTGTAGTTATTTTTGAGAATAAAGTTTGCTGTTTTAAAATTTTTGTAATTAATCTATTTTTTTATTCGGGTCAGTTAGGTTAGTATATATATATATATATATATATATATATATATATATATTCCCTTCCCTGACGATCAACTTAGGTGAAACCATGGTAGGTTTGTCTGGCTCTCTAGGTTTAACTATATATATATATATATATATATATATATAATGATAAATAATTAATAGTTTTCTCACTGTTATGCCGTACGTATAGATTATAATGCGTATGTCTTAATCCTTATAAATACAGAAATACAGTGGAATATACTGTATGTTGATTCACTGTGGTCTTCCACGGTGTGCATGTCAAACTCTCTGCCTCTGTGTAGAGAAGAACGAGGCTATACCAAAGGGCAGAGTCTCGTCTGGGGTCGTAGACAGCTACCCGACCCCGTTTTTACGGGGTCTACGGGGAATTTTTGCCCGGGCCTACGGGCTCGGATACCCCAGAATAAACTCGGCCTTGTACCACATCCGACCGCGTGGGGTGGTTAGTGAATATCTCACTGTGGTCTTCCACAATGTGCTGGTCAAACTATTTGCATCCGGGCAGAGAGGAACCCAGACGAGGCTATGCCGAAGAGCAGAGTCTCATCTGGGGTGGTAGACAGCTACCTGAAACCGTTTTTACGTGGTCTACTGAGAATGTTTTTCCTGAGCATTCGGGCTCAGTTCACCCCACTATAATTCGGCCTTGTGCCACATCTGACTGCGTGGGGCGGTTAGTGAATGTCTTCAATGTGGGATTTCATTTACGATTCACTTCTAGCACTTGATTACTTATTACACGCGGCTGGCGAATCTTGTACGCTGTTCCTGTTATAAATCTTATCGTTCCATTTCCAACCTTCGTTTTGGTTATTCTTATTCTGTAACCTTTTCCTACATTACAACAGTCACTTATTTAATTGATCTTACCTTCAGAATCCAGACTACAGAGTTTCGTAGACGGACCATCCGAGAATTACACCCTCCAATCGTCAGGGGATATCAACAATTGAACGCTTATACTTATCGATTTTTCTTTTTTATATGCACTTTTCATTGGTGTAAGTTTTTTTTTTTTTTTTTTTTGCATACTTTATGTATGCGTCTGACCGTTTGCGCGTATGTATGTATGTGTAGAATGATGTGAGTATTTGTCCTTTTTGTCTTTTTTTCCACTTTACATTCACTTTTCTCTCTTTTTCTCTTTCTTCCTCTTTTCTTTCAATTCTTATCATTTGACTTCCGGTTATCTAGATTTGTCGTTGTTAATTTTTGAGTCTTCTATTTTTTTCTTGAGTTAGGAAAATTGTATTTCTTTTCTTTTTCTTTTACATAATTAATTGTAATGCTTAAATAATAAAGCGATTATTTATATGCCTTCACTTGGCCATTATTCCGTTTTCTTACTATTAGAATATTAATTGTAGGGAATTATGATTATAATTAAATTTTTATTTATTATTGCTTTAATATGTATGCAGAGCTTATATTCATACGTTTGCATACACGCATACACACACATGCATATTCATGTGAACCAATTGCCGCAACACAAAATTTTAAAAGAAAAGATAAAAACAACTTGTTGTCAAAGGATATGACCAAGGTTTACCACTCCGTCGTGGACGGATTCTCTTACAGGGTCAAATACACGGATGATGAGAGACAGCGAACAGTAACGAACAACAAACTCCAATATATAATTTAATAAGATTTAATTATAACAACACCATACATAAAAACATTAATGCAATGTAGTCCATGGAAAAATGCTTGCTATAGATTTCTCTGTGGAAAGATGTATTCTTTTGGGATCATATGCATTTTGATTGGGTTGTATTGTTTACGTATTTTTTTCAAAGGACATTTTTTGGTTGTAATATTTTTCTTTTAAGATTTTTTTCTATGGCACCTATATAAAATTTTTCGCCTGTGTTAATGTTATTAGTTGCGGTAGATTTATATATTAAGTTATTGGTTAAACATTTATAAGTGGGCATTTTCTTTCTACAGTTACATTTGATTGTGTTATATTGCTGGATGTTATGTGTTATTGTTGTTGTAATTGTTATTGATTTTATTGAATATTTTTATCATGCTTTGTTATTATTTTCTCCGTGTTACCCTGTACCTGTAACTAATTTTGATTGCTTTTATATAGATAATTTATGATAATTTGCTGTTTTTAGGGAATTGTTTGTCAATTATTTTGAAGAATATTTCCCTATTTTTGTCTTTATATTATTGCTGTAGTGGGATGAAGAAAATTGTGTTTCTTTTTTCTGTTGTTCTTGTTTTAAATGTTTTCGTTTTTGCATTCTAGTTTGTTTAAAGATCCGCTGTTTTTTGGGGGGCTGTTTTTGGGGGCTGATTCATATGCTTTTTTTCCTCTTTTTTTTTTAAAAAAATATTTTTACTTTCCTTTCAGGAACCCAGCCACGAGGAATGAGCATAATGGTAAAAAACAATGACCTTCACGAAATATTTTTATTGATTACGTGGGAAAGGCTTCCTCCCGAGATCATTCAACGATTAAAAACACTAAAATTGGTTTACCAAAAACCGGATACCCAGACATGGTGCACAGTGATTGTATCCGATCCTGCAGTCACTGACAGCCATAAGATCGAAGATATTAAAAGGCCTGGGAATTATACCGTTCGACTCTCCATCCATCTCAAGAATGGAAAAACAATAAATATTTTACCTACGCACATTCGTATTATACAAGGTAGTTGTTTTTCTTCTTTTAATTGGGACAGTAGTTATTTTGTTCTTTTAATCGGGGCACTAGTTGTTTTTTCTTTTATTCGGGGTAGTACTTATTGACGATCAGCTATAGCTTGAGTATCAAGTTACTAATATTAAAGTCATAATTTCTTCTCTTGTCCAGTTTAGGAAGTACCCAAACTAACTATATATTCATTCGCTCATTTTTTTTTTTTTTTTTTTTGCCTTTTACAAATTTTATTCTTATTTCAAAATATTCTTCTCTGATTTTGATTCCTGTTTGATTAAATCCATTTATCGTATTTCCAGATATTCATTTTGCTAGCACCGTAGGGCCATCGTAGCAGCAGTGGTGTGTCTATGACTAGGTAGCTTGACGGTGACCATCTCTCTTTAGGCTGGTTTTCCTTCTACTAGATTGGTTGTCACCTCGAAACCGTTGCTGTAAATCGGCCCTTCTGGCAGAGAACCACCCCGGAAGGGGGGGCAGAATATCGATTCCAATCATCAATATGAAGAGGATCTGCGACATTCTATTAGGAGGGCCCGATTCACCCAGCCACGCCCACCACTTACATTCCTCTGTGACTCCCACTCACAACTCTTCAGGAGCAGGCCTGGGCCTTCTCAGACATCTCTGTCACTGTCACAGGAGAGGGGTATGACGATCCCGATGTTCAGATGCGAGCAGGTGCTGACTACGACTGTCATCTCGAAACAAAAGAGACCAGTGTGCTACGCTAGTTATACTATAGCTCGAAGAAGAGTGATTTGCGCCTTTTCCAAAGGGTGAAGTGAACGAAAAAGAATCATCCGGAAATTGAACACGGCACGTCGAATTAAATTTCCCTATCAATAACCGCTATACAATTCAAATATTCAAATTCACTGATATCAGAGAGGGGGAATCAGTTTTTGGTTTTATTCAATTCTTTATTGTACAATATTATTTTTATAAAGCTATCTTTCGAGGAATCGAGCTTTTCTGGAAATTTTCGCATCTTCTCCTCCATTTTAACCGCCATAGTCGACAACTAGTGACCCTTCACATCCAGAATGATTTATTTCCAACAAGAAATCACTACACTGTTGTAGCATACATACGAACGATAATGGGTATGTCCCCATTCACATAAATACAGTAGTAAATACTTTATGTTGGTCTGAAGTTGGAGATTCGTCTCCAGCTGTACTGGTCAAACTCTCTGCCTTTGGGCAGAGAGGATCCCCAAATGAGGCTCTGTCAAAGGGCGAAGTCTCGTCTCGCGAAATAGCTACCCGACCTCGTTTTATACGTGGTCAACGGGGAATCTGGGGCCGAGCCTACGGGCTCGGATGCCCCACATTAAATTCGGCATTGTGCCATATCTGACCACGTAGGGCGGTTGGTAGATATCCTGCAGTTGGAGATCCATTGTGGAATTCACTTGACTTCACTTCTAGCAGTTGACTACTTCTTCCCGCCGTTGGCGAATCTTATATGTGTTGTTCTTGTCCTAAGTATTATCGTTCATTACCAACCTTCGTGTGATTATTCTATTCAGTAACCTTCCCTAGGTTAGAACATACACTTAAATATGTTTTGGTAAAAAACGGTCAGATATTTATCGAATTTCTTCCACGTTCCGAATTCTACGGTTTTTAAGATCAGTTTCAGCAGCTTTGAGACCCTGTTTGTATTCGTCATTATAACAGCTGAAATAAAAGGTACAGTTGGATACCGACATCAACAAACATTAATAATAATAATAATAATACTTATTATAAAACCCAGGTTGTGTGTGTGTGTGTGTGTGTGTGTGTGTGTGTGTGTGTGTGTGTGTGTGTGTGTGTGTGTTCGTTTATAAATGGGATCGGATTCCCTACATTTTTCAACCGATTTCAACAAAACTTCACTTTTTTTTTGGGGTAGTGTTTGTTATTGTCTTGCACATTTTTTTCTTTATTTTTACATTCAGAATGCTTTAAAAATTCCATTTACAAGACAATTGTTTATAATAAAATTCTATTCAATCGGTAGACTCATAACGATTGAAAACAATGTTTTTGATTGAGTTTGGTTTTGACCAATTCGAAAAAAAAAAAACTAATTAAGACATGCGTGTCCGTCAACCTTAAACAAAAATCTTTGTCAATTTAATTTTTCAGTCTTTGTGATGGTCGATACTTGATCTATCTCTTACTGTTACATCCCCGGGTAACGGCGGGCTCTACTGCTAGTAATAATAATAATAATAATAATGGACAGAACCCAAAACCTGATAAATATGCATAAGGCTCTGAAAAGAAACAGTGATGTCTGTAGGCTGTCTATTCCAAGCTAATGTGTGCTGAAGACGTGTGTTCCATTGGCTGTTCAGGGACTTGAGAATTATGTCAAAAGTTCTTGTGAATTGCTTCTGGTAGAGTGAATGGAGGATTTAGTAGCGCGAGATGTTGAATCAGTCGTCGTTGGCTGAACTCGTTGCCTAGTACTGGGAGTGCTCATCAACATTCCTGTCTGTGTGAAATGAGTCCTATATTGAATCTGAAGATACGACCGCAACCATCGTAGAGCAATGTAGGAGTATTCAGGGGATGGAGAGCTCAGGCCTTTCTTTGCACTCTCTTCGTCTCTTCTATTTGTCTTGGTTCTGTAATCGATGGATATTATTTTTTTGTGGACTGCTCTTCTCTAATTGAGTTTCCGCCTCCCAAATGACCGGATCGATTTCTGTCCTCACCGTGTGTTTTTCAACTGATCCTTAAATCAATGATTTAGTATTTAGTTGTTTTTTTCTTTTCTTTTTTTCACCACTAACCTTGTTTTATTTTTACTTTCTGTTTTTTCTTACCTAAAATGAACTGTGGAATCAAATGAAAATACTGGACAAGAAAGAACTTTGCAGAGTTCTATGTCTGAGAAAATCATATACTAGTTTATGATGACCCCCTTAGTAGGCCCATCATAGAAATAAATACAATATGGGAGCCGCTAATAAAGAAAGACAAATGACAACAAGTCTTCAACAGCAGCAGCAGTCAAACATGACAGGTAGAAGCAGCACTAATCAGCTGACAGGTTAGGTTTAAGTCTCCAAGTTTACCACAGAGAATTGTCCAATGGAATTAAAGTGTTGGTGACATAGTAACTGTAATTTCAATTCCTGCAATTTGCACTTTGATTCAGTGGAAATAGGCGAGCAATAATTGAGCAGTATTAAAAATAAGAACTAGATGAGATATTGTACAAAAATTGGTTAGATGCACACACAGGAACAGAAGTGTGGGGAAAGATAGTGTGAGTCCAATAGCTTCACTAAACAAATCAAATCCATGCTTCTCTCTGTGTCTTGGTCTCAATATGTTAATTCCTGTCAGAAGTGAAAAGTGAACTACCGTTGAATGAGCGTAGCATACCATGCTTTTATGCACCTGACCCAGCCAGTGCTCAGCCAATGAGTGCCCAGAACCAGCCAATAAAAATGGCTACAAGTGACACCACCATTTCCATCAGCACAAAGTGCTGCCTGATTCACTGTCTGTCTGAAGCTCATCGATTCACCTTCTCCACATTCCCTTGCGAAACATACACATGACTCTGGCCATTTTGGGTCACCAAGATAAGTCACCGCTACAGATATCCCTAGACATGGGCAGTAGAACAAGAACAGAATATCATTGCAGATTAAATAAAGAGTTCAATTTAGAACTTCCAGTATATACAGGTGGAAAGGATAACAACTGAAACATTGTGATAACAACAACAAAGATGAGGACAATAGTCTGAATATAAATAGTGTAAATAATTATTATATTTAGTTATGAAATTTAATTCTAATTAATTAATTTAATACAGATATCCCTAGACATGGACAGTGAAACAAGGACAGACTATCTTTGTAGATTAAATAAAGGGTTCAGTTCAGAATATTCTGTAGGACAATATTTCGAATATAAAAAGAGTAAATAATGATAAATCCTCATCCTAGAAATTCAGACAGATATTAAATTGTTCATGTTTTGTCATAGTGAATTAGAATGGGCGACATTAAATATCTCGCTCAGTATCATGGATTTGCTTGTCTGTTGACTGACCTTAAATAGATGGATATGTCCCCTAGGGGTTGATACGCACTGCTTCTCTGAGTTCATGAGCAGGAGTATTGGGGGTGCATCATTCCTGGGTGTCGAGGGGGTTCTTTTTTTAGTTTAAAGGATCTGGCAACGATAGAAATTTAGAGACTTGTGACCAGCCCGAATTAACGCCAGAAAAAAACTAAGGTAAAAAGAAATTTGCGTGCTCAGGGCACGTCATCGATGTTCCGTTTAGAGGTAGTTAAATCAGATGCCTCAGTTATCTCCCTTACACTCAACTCTCCACCAAGGTTTTGTTCACTACTATCGATGCCAATTGAACTCACAAATGTTGGGGGTCAAGTCACTGGATCCAATCAACGCTTTTATCCACTGGGACATATGTCCCCGAGGACATCAGTGTATGAATTTTGGGACTTATAAATCAAATGTCTCAGTAATCATTTTTTACCAGAGCTCATATTGCAATTTTGCTTTTCTCCAGCACACCGTATAACTGGTTCCCATATTGTATTCATTTCTATTCTGGGTTGGCTTAGGAGATTTTTGTGTCCTGGCATATGTGCTGATTCCTTAAGTTTACACATTTTCCAGGGATATTCTCTGTCTATTATTAGAACCTCATCCAACAGATGGCGGTGATCTCCCTTTTCCCTCAATATGTGATCAGCTATAACTGATTTTTCTATTTCTCTGTCTATTATTAGAACCTCATCCAACAGATGGCGGTGATCTCCCTTTTCCCTCAATATGTGATCAGCTGTACCTGATTTTTCTATTTCTCTGTATATTATTAGAACCTCATCCAACAGATGGCGGTGATCTCCCTTTTCCCTCAATATGTGATCAGCTATACCTGATTTTTCTATTTCTCTGTCTATTATTTGAACCTCATCCAACAGATGGCGGTGATCTCCCTTTTCCCTCAATATGTGATCAGCTAAACCTGATTTTTTTATTTCCTCTGGTGTTACCGCTTTTCAATGTTCTTGCAGTATTAACTTAAGGGGGCGGCTGTTTCTTCTTTATATTTCTTACCACAGCTATACTGAATACCTATAGACAGTCCTTGGTCATGTTCCCCCTCTACGGGGGGGGGTTACTCAGAAGATGTGCCTGAGAAGTGTCGAACCACTTTTGAAGGTCGTTCTGATGTTATATGGACCACAGATCTTTTGAATCTGTTGAAACTGTTAAATATTTTAACAGGCAACTACAAACAATGTCTAATTCTTCTAAAATATTCAGTCATTAAATAAAGCTGAAATGGAGAAAGAATACACTAATCTCTAACTGTAACACTTCCCTGGTTATTGTCAGCCATTTTACAGAATTCAAAAAATTAAAGTAAAAATTATTTTTATTTTATTATTTTTTTTTAAGCATTTAACCCCAAGTAAGGCGACAATGCCACTAGGACGCGGGGAGTGAAAGAGCAGGATAAGACTTAGAAGGACAATAAAGGAACGGCTTTTATGAAGACAAAAGATGGCGATTGACGTTGTATTTAAATTTCTAAGATTCTGGATGGCAGGAAAACAAGAAATCGGAAGAGAGTTCCACAGGCAAGAAGTGAGAGAAAAGGAAACTATTAGAAAAGAACTGATGGCTGTATCTAACTAGTTCAACAGTAAAACGATGAGACCTAATTGACAATCTAGTAGCAAGCTTAAATTCATATAGCCGAGGCAGTAAGTAGTACAGCTCATCAGGATAATTCCCATGAAAATATTTCTAGAAAAGACAGAGGGAAGCCGCGTTATGTTGTTGGGAAAGTGACTGAAGACGAGATGCCAGGTCAGGGTCGATTATATTGCAGGGCATTCTTTGAATTAAGTTTCGTCTGAAATAATATTCTGCTAACTGGAAAAACGTTTCAATTTCCAGCATATTAATGAAAACAGCAGTTCTTTTTAATAAGTCTCAAACATTTCAATATTTACTAATATTATCGGAGTTTGGCACAAGGCCAGGCATTTAAGTGCATACCATCTGTTATGGTGTACTACTGTCTAACCGATGTGAATAACAGAGATTAACAGCTGGAATCAGTTGATAACAAAGTCTGTTTATAAAAGCACTTACCTTTCAACTTCAATTTTGAAGCTACCGGTTGCAAAATAAACAGTATACGAATTAGAATTTTTTTTTCACAAATCCATTTTTGGAAAAACATTAGTCATGAAATTTAAAACATTCTTGTCATGTCAGAGTATTTCCTTTCGTAAAAACAAAAATATTATTTCGATGTTTATTTACATCAAATTCAGAATGTTATCAACAAAATTAAATTTACAATTTCCTATTAATGAGATTTTTTTGTATTTAGTAGTTTTTATTTATTTATCAAATTTCAATTTTTATTCGGATATTTCAAACAATTTGTACAAAACAAGAAAAACATTAACTCATATTGCTTCTTTATTTAATTCATTAACACTCAATGAAGGCCGTAGAGTATACAGCCGAAAATCTTTTGAAAATGAAACCGAATTCGTCCGAACGAGATGATAAAAAATGATTACAACATTTTTTTACATTTCTGAGATGAGGTATTGTAACTATTTACACTATTTGATTTTTGTTCGGACTGTTGTCCTGATCTTTATTGCCATATTCACAACGTTTCGGCTGTTGTACACCCCGGCCTCCTTCAGGTGATATTAGTTAGAATTCGAAATAATACACATCACTGTAAAATACATAAACTCAAGGAATCGCCGCATATGTTAAGCCGCAAAAATCTGCTAAGCTGGCCAAGTATAGACACGGATACAATATGGGAACCAGAGAAAAACAAGAAAAGCAACAAACTGTAATATGAGCTCTGGTAAAAAAAAAAATGGTTACTGAGACATTAGGTTTATAAGTCCTAAAAATTCAGTCACTGATGTCGTCAATGGATAAGTTGGTTAAGTAACCCAAAAAGCAAATTGATCCAAAGAGTTGTGAGTTCAATACCTGACCACAACAGACGGAACAAAAACTTGGAGAGTCGAGTATTGGAAATTAATTGAAACTAAGATATGGAATGTCACGTGAAAGTAAGACAGTTTATCGTGGTTCGAAATTCGAATATTTATCACTCGAAGAAAGCCGTAGCGTACAACTGCTGAAAATGGCATGAATATGGCAATAAAGATGAGGGCAACGTTTTGAACCTTTTAAATAGTGTAAATATGATTAAAACATCTCGTCTGATAAAATTTCCTACAAGAGTCTCAAGAATTCAACTGAAATGTTTAAAAAAATGTGAATCTTCTAAAGTATGCATTCGATGTCACACCGGAATGTTTCGAGAAAAGAGTAAATTGATATAGTACAAATACATTCTTTCCTGTGGATTAATGTCTCTTATTGCTGTGGCCTTGTTAGGGCCTTAAATAAAGGCACCAGAGAGGAATTGAATTCAACAAATATATTAACAGAAAAATATTAATACAAACGAGAGTGTTACAGCAAGAATATTCGGACCGACTATCAGAGCTGACTGCTGGAAACTACATTCCTCTAAAAGGCAGTACCTGCTCCTATTTATAGCTGGGAGAGTCCATGCGTACATGGGTAAATTAACATAACACTGAATTGAATAGACAACGCAAGCACTTTATCAATTCGGATAATAATGAACGAACGGGTAAAGCATTCATGCAGTTCTTAACAAACTTAAAAATAAAGTAGAATTATTTTGTCAGGACAGAATTTTAATTTCGGCATTGAAGGATTTATTTCAAGCCAATATTTATTATATTCAACCTTTGTACAAAGAAAACATTTGAACCTTCGACGAACATTGGATATGTTATTGACTTTCTCAAAGATATGGACAAAGAGTTGGTTGGTAATCGAAACATAAAAGACATTTAGGCTTCTGAGAAATATTGGATATGTTAATGAATGTTCTCAGATCTATAAACCAACAAAAGATTAACCATTTCTAAATTAAATCGTCCGAAATACATTGCATATATTAATGTCTCTTCTCAGTGTTATAGACAAAACAAATGATATTTAAATTCTTAATGGGGTAGTTAATACTGAATACCCTATGGGTCACCCAATGAGAATTGAACTCACAATATACGATTAACAAGACTATGCTCACTAAAGATCTCCCTACATCAAAATACCAAAACGTGTTTGGTACCAACTATTTAAGGAAAATTTATCAATTTTCTGATAACTCCATTTCTCGTTATGTTTTTATTATTGTCCTTGATTAAATGTTATTAGATTTCTTTTCTTTTCTTTTTTTATAGCCATGTCTTCACAATCAAAGCGAAGTAGTGTGGTGGTTGGAATCGTGGTCAGTGTGTGCGTTGTGCTGATCATCACGTTTACTGCGGTCATCCTTTGGAGACGACGTTCACGTCGATGTTCAAGCAGCAATGGGTACGAGAACAAGGCTTTTGGGGTAAAATTCTTTTCAGTTGCCCATCTTTCTCATTTCAGACTCAGTTACACACGCACTGTGTGACACGCGAAGTAGTCAGTGCACTCCTTCTTTTAATAACTCCGTCAATCCTCTCTATATCTAGTCTTCTCTCTCACTTTCAACCCCTCTGTCTATATCTAGTCTTTTGCTCTCACCCCCTCATCCCCCTATAATCACCTCTATATCTAGTCTTTTATCTAGTCTTTTCACTTTCACTCTCTCTGACCCCCAGTCCCCTCTCCTTTTCTCTCATATCTAGTCTTCTCTTTTTTCTTTTCACTTTCTGTAACACCCAGTCTCCTCTATTATCTAATCTTTTCCCTCACTTTCACTATCTGTGACCCTCTCAATCCCCTCTATATCTAGTCTTTTCTCTCACTTTCACTCTCTGTGATCCCCCCAGTCCCTAGTCTTTTTCTATATCTATCCCCAGTCCCCCTATATCTAGTCTTTTCTCTCACTTTCACTCTCTGATCCCCCCCTCTAGTCTTTTCTCTCACTTTCATCCCCTCTATATCTAGTCTTTTTTGCTCTCACTTTCACTCTCTGTGATCCCCCAGTCCCCTCTATATCAATATATCTAGTCTTTTCTCTCTTTCACTCTCTGTGATCCCCCCAGTCCCTTCTATATCTAGTTTTTTCTAATCTCAATTTCACTCTCTTTAACCCCCACTTTCACTCTGTAACAAACTAGTGGCCCCCAGTCCCTTCTATATCTAGTTTTTTTTTTCTCAATTTCACTCTCTTTAACCCCCTGCAAACTAGTGGCACTCCCGCCTTAATTGGGTTGAAATGATTAAAAAAATTGAAGTGTTTAGCATTTATATTTCAAACCTTTACTAATAAACGAATGCAGAGAAAAGCAAGAATTTTCTCGGTAAATAAAAGTTTTGAAGACGTCGTAAAACTACGAATTGCTACCGTTTGAATCCACCAGCTGCTTTTTGGCCTGGTTGGTTGTCAAACATTCTGAAATCAGACGATTACACTGGCGTCATCATAATAACAAAACTAACCTAAATGCTTTCTTTTATCTTTATTATTTTTGACCTATTGACCTTATACGTGCAGTTCGGGTGGGAGCGATGGGAAGAGGCGACAGGCAGTCGGGTAGAATGGAAACGGATAAATTGTCTAAGATCTCCAAGAACACATGTTGGGTAGGAATCGACGTACTAACTACCCGAGGATGGTTCGCCTCTAAAGTATTTACATCTTCCTTCCTTCTCTCTTTCTTTCTGTCACACACGCAAACACACGCACACACACAGTCACTCCCCCTCTTCCCCTCTCTCTCTCTCTCTCACACTTTCTCTCTCATACACTCGCGCACACTCATAGACAAACGGTTGCACCGAAAGTAATACTTCATATTGGCCAACGACATCAAAGTAAGATGTTGGTGACACGTTTAGCACAGATTAAATTTCCCCACTAATAAGCTGTAGATTTTTTATCTCTTGTTACAGAGAGCAACCGAGCGGAAATCTAGAAAAATGACGTCTGACATGAGAGTCTTGCAAAATAGAGAGGCGTGTCAATGAATTCATTTCCACGGAAAAAGCATCACCCATTGACATTCATCTATGCTTGTTCAACATTTACAGAAACCAAACAGTGATTGTAAGCGCAGTTATGTGTAGGGTAAAGCGTTCCAAAAGTATTGACAGTAACATGTATCACAAGCCATCGTCCATGGTAGCCCTGTAAGGATGTGATCCCAACAGCTGGTGAGCGCCTAGATCGTAAAGATTTGGTCAGATAGGATTTTTGTTGCTGCTTTGATCCAAAGGTGTTATTGTGCTCTTTTAGTGCAATAAGATTCTTGTAATTTCCATGAAAATAGGAGACAATATTTCCAGAACGTCCTACACGTGATAGTATACATGTCTGTGTGTCTTTCTCTGTCTGTGTCTCTGTACTTGTATCTCTGTGTGTGTGTGTGTCTGTGCGTTTGTGTCTGTACGTGTGTATGACTCTCTCTCTTTTTCTCTGTATCTGTGTGTGTACGTGTGTATGTGTATCTGTGCTTATGTGCGTCTGCGTGTGTATGTCTCTATCTCTCCCTCTGTGTGTGTGTCTCTCTCCCTCTGCGTCTCTGTGTTTAAGTCTCTCTCCTTCTGTGTGTATGTATGTGTCGCTATCTGTGTGTGTGTGTGTGTGTGTGTGTGTGTGTGTGAGTGTGTGTGAGAGAGTGCGTGGACAAATAGGTATTGGTGTGATGGTTAAGTAAATCTTGCAGACTAATTAGCTCACACAATTAGTTCAATCGTCCCTGGGTACTCAACTATTGTAGCCTTGTGCCAGACGAAGCTAAGCCAAATAACGGTGTTAACTGGAAGACAGGAAGAGAAACTCAGGGCTAAAATGAGCTGTTCATGGAGAAAGTAAGCTTCCTCCTGGGACAACGGCGGCAGGAACAACATCATCCACCTGCGCAGAATGTGGGCGTGTATGCCTTTCAAAGGCGAACTTCTTAAGTCACTCACGTCGCCAGAACACAATATGTCGCTATGATGTCCAGCCTGTGTGCAAATAGTGAATTGTCTTTGTTTCGTTTCGTATGACCTTTTTTTCCCATCACTTACCACGCTGCTTTCTTTCTAGGAGACATCTTTTTTTTTATTATTCATATGCGGCTTTGAATTTCTCTACCAGATTTTCTGTCTGTTAAGATTGTTCGCCGAGAACACAAATACGATAGGCAACTCCAAAGACAAAAAGCGTCAAAAAATGTCGGAAATTCTTAGGATAAAAAAATAACCTTAACAACCCCACACAAACACAATGTACTTGAATTGAGAATATGTCTATCTTTCATTAATTTTTTTATATTTTCAATATTAATTACATCTTATTTACTGTGGCACAAGCAAAATCCTTGAAAATGACTAATAGATTACACGAAAGCCTCGGAACAAACAATTATTTAGACACACACACACACAAACACACACACACACACACACACACACACACACACACACACACACACACACACATATATATATATATATATATATATATATATATGATAAAAATATAGTTTTAAGGTATACTATATTTATGGGTTAAAGTGCTCAATATCAGGGATAGAGCGTATGTAAATATGAAAGTGAACATTGGAGTCAACACCCAACGACAACAGACTGTTTTATGCTTAAACGCAATCTTCAGGCCCCGTATGCTATGATTTGCTCGACTATTTATAGATGCTGGTCAATGGGGCATTATGGTGAGGTCTACCAGATTATTCTACCAGTTATTGGGTTATGACATTAGGGGCTAGTGAATACTCATTACTCATTATTTATCATTGTTTACTTTATTATTTGTTCGTGATTGTTACTATTGCATTTACTTGTGTATATGTGTGCATTTCTAGTGTGTTCATTTGTTTATTATTTTCTTAATCTGTTTACCTATTTATTGATTAGGATTATATCATTTTACTTATTTTGGGGGGGGACAATTTTTAGTTTTCGATTTTTAAGTAACGTATTAAAAATTTATTTTCGTGTCTACATTTGAGATGAGTTCTGATCGTTTTTAAATAACTCGTGTTTTTCTGGAAAAGTAATTATGACTATTTTCTTCTACAGTTTACTGTTTTATGATGTATTGTTGTAGGCTGGTGCCGTTTTTCTACTTTCCATGACATTTTTCATGTTATTTGGTTTTGTTTTTTTAATTTTCCATATATTTTAGAAAGCATATATATATATATATATATATATATATATATATATATATATATATATATATATATATAGGGTGTCCATAAGGTTCGTGTGCACTTTAAAAAATTTTAACTTTATTTGTATTTGCGATAGAAATAAACTGTAAAAATGTTATAAAATTTAATGTACCTAGTTTTAAGTATAGCTAAAATAACTAATGTGATTTCAGGCATTACTGTAAATCAGTTGGCAAAATATTTTCCGTGAACTACAAAATCATATTACCCTTTGTATTGCTAATGATGGGGGACATGCGGAAACTTAAATAAAATTTCAATAAAACCTTAAAAAACATAGATTTATATCTTTCTAATCCTTTTTTACAAATTATATATATATATATATATATATATATATATATAAGTGAACATTGAATTCAACACTTAGAGGCGACAGTCTGTTTCATGCTAGACGCAATCCTCAAGTGGCCTGACGATTGCGTCTAGCATGAAACAGACTGTCGCCTCTAAGTGTTGACTTCAATGTTCACTTTTATATTACACTTTTATATTACACACGCTCTATCACAGTTATTTATCCAATAAATATAGCACACCTTAAGACTATATTTCTTCATATATATATATATATATATATATATATATATATATATATATATATAAAAAGAAAGAACAGTAAGATATATAATCCGGTGTTCTTATGGATATTTCTATTTTTACAAAATAGTGCTCAATGTAAATTTACAGAGCATAAATATTATAAATAAATTGATTTAAAATATGGTTTTCCGCTACACAGTTCTAACCATGTTTCAAAAATGGTAGGTCCGAATTTAATTTTGTAATTAAATTAAAGACATTGGTTCCATTTCATCCACAAGCGAATTTTGGAGTAACTTATCTAAGTTACTCCACTGGTTACTGGTTTGTAAAATTTATGCATCCATGTCATAACATAAGAATGACTGTAGGCAGTAAATTCAACGTAATCTATGCGATAAAAAGAATTAAAAAAATAAAATTAAAGAAAGGAGTAAATATTACATCAATGTTACTTCAATTTTGTTGTTTCAATTCGAACCTCGACCTACAAAGTCAGCATTACACAAACTTCAACTCTGACCCTGCCTATATTTCTAAGAAATCATTTTGTTTTCTCTTTGCAGTTGCAATTGACGGAGAGTCAAAAGAGTAATACGTCACATTTGAATGCATAGCGTCAAGCCGAACAACAATCGTCCCGATAACATATCTGTCTGTATATTGCTTTTTCTCTATTCATTTTTCTTTCGCTGTGACGAGAAACTCTCTCAACAAAGACATTCGGATTCAACCAATTATGTTTGTGCCTCAAAACAGCCAACGTTTTTTCATGGACAAATTTTCAAAATACTAATCTCATAGTCTTGAGAATTTCGTAGACGCCCAGAAAGAGTCACAGATTTTACAATAAGAATACGATTAATTTGTGAAAAAAATGTTAATATCATCTACAAATTTGATATATAAGTATTATTTCAAAAACTATTCATTCAGGTAATCTTAACTTTATTGTTTAGGTCACTATGTTTATTTTTTGAAAATCTGTGATTAAGTATCGTAATAATTGTATGTGTTATTCAAATTCGTATTGCATTTCCTTTTCATCTTGTCAAAATACTTTTCCTTTATAGAATTTAGGATTTCAGCCTCTTTTTAAAAAAAAATTCTTGTGTCAAAACGAAAGCTTGACGCTTGTGTATCTGAAAAGTTCCATCTGAGTAGGTGACAGAAATTGAAAGACTTTCAGCAATTGCTGAAAAATCGAATAACTGGGTGATTAGGGCAGGTTGATTTTGGAACCCTGATATTGCACTCAATTTAAAATTTGGGGTTTGACACGATAAATAATGATACAGAATATTCTTTTCCAAATCATTACCGTTTTGGGGAGAAATGAGTTTAAAAATTAAGTTTAGGTTTAAAATCGTAGCTTTGGAATTTCATTCCGGTGATCAATGAAAGCCTTGGAGCCCAGCCGTATGGACAAGATGCATGTCACAATCACATTATTACTAAATCATTGTGCTATCATTTACTTCAAAGAGAAATTATCCTTAACGATTTAGCTATATTACAATGTAATATGATATACAATGCAGTCGTTTTTATGTGATTTTCAATAAACAATGCAAGTTTAAAATATTTTGTCTCATATTTTGTACCCAGCAGTGTTATATTGTTATAGGCACTTTTATCTATTTTTTATTTTTATTAATTTTGATCTAACAAATAATCTAACGGATCTTATTCATTGAGTAGCCGTTTTTCTAACCTTTTACAATTTTTTACAGTTTTTACTTCTCGTATATAGTAAATAATTGCATATTTTTCTTTGTGTTGATTCATGAATGTATTTTCCATCCAGAAATATACCAACATTATTTGGATTTATTGTTGAAAAATAAAAATTCTGAAGTTAGTTTGTAAGCAAACATCTGTTGAAATTTGGCATTTCTGTACATTTTTTTTTCAGAGGATCTTTCAAACTAAATGTTCAAATATTGGAAAAAGCTATGAATCTAATGTTTGGTTTCAGTACTTATCACATCAAAGAACGCTTTTCACATCGATTTGATTTTCTAAGGAGAAAAACCAACCTGCGGGTTAGGATTAGGGTTCATGTCATTCTGGGTTGCTAGAGTCATTTACCCTTTGCACTGCTAGAAAGTCTTACGCTTAGATTGCAAGTCCTTATAGAAAGGTTCAGGGTTAGGGTTCATGTCATTCTGGGTTACCTAAAAGGTATTAATAAAAATAGCTGTGTAGATAATAATAATAATAATAATATTGAGTGATGCACCAAACATTGATGTTCGCCAAACCCATTAATTGCTTAGAAGCAATGCTCTTAAGTAAGAGACAGAAGGCCTTATTCTGACAATGTCTCCCAACTAATGCCTACAAGGCTAAAATCAACAAGCATAGCTCAAAATCTGCCTGCATAAATTTGATGAAACTGTTAACAACATAATATTAGAAAAGGATACATAATTATACATAATTGTCTATATTTCTGAGATGCGGTATTTTAATTATTTGTTGTCATATTCACGACGTTTCGGCTGTTGTACACTCCAGCCTTCTTCAAGATCTGTTTATATTTTTGTGATGAGGTATTGTAATTATTTCCACTATTTACATTGTTCGGACAGTTGCCCTCATCTTTGTTGACATATTCATAACGTTTCGGCCTTCTTCGGGTGATTAGAATTTTGAACTGACACTGTTATTTTTAGTCCCAAGAGCCATGCTTCTTTCGGATAGTATCAGTTATTTCCCGTTTTCTCTCCAAGATTTTGGTTCCTCTCTGCTGTAGCCAGGTATTGAACTCACAACTCTTTGAATTAACTCATTGAATTAATTTACCATTTTTTTTTACTGTGTGATGTGTATGGATATTTGGGACTTATAAACCTAATGTCCCACTAACTGTTTTTACCAGAGCTCATATTGCAATTTGTTGTTATTGTTTTCCTCTAGTTCCCATATTGTATTCATGTCTATACTTGGCCGGCTTAGGATATACTCTGGCATAGCATATGCGTTAATTCTTTAAATTTTCGTATTTTCCAGTGATGTTCTCAGTCTATTATTTCAACCTCACCCCGCAGAGGGGGGGGTGATTACCCTTTTCCCAGCCATGCCTGATTTTTCTATTTCCCTTCGTGTTATGGCTTTACAATATGGGAACTAGTAAAACGGAGTGCTAGACAAAAAACAATATCAACCAATTGTAATATGAGCTCTGGTAAATATAGTTACTAAGACATTAGGTTTACAAGTCCCAAAAATTCATACACATAGCTCATTGAATAAAAGAGTTGGTTGAAGTGACCCAGTGTCTTGACCCAAAGAGTTGTGAGTTCAATACCTCCCTACAGCAGAGGTGAACAAAAACTGATACTATGATATCCGGAAGTGGCATGGCACGTGGAACTAGAAAAGGGTTCAGTTCTGTTGTGGCCTGTTTAGGGACCAGAAAGAAAGACACAGAAGACGAAGGTAGGTTGAAAAAGTATATTGAAGATATATACAAAACAATAGTGTTAGTAATAAGTAGATTAGCACTGCACCTATTTCTCCACTCCACTTCACACACTGCGCTCTCGTTCCACTCTCGCAGTTTGTACTTATGAAAGAAGGAAGAGTTCATTATACTGTAAGAGGGTTTACCACAGCAAGTTCTAAATTCCAATCACCTGAAGAAGTCCGGAGCGTACAACGGTCGAAATGTTGTGAATATGGCAATAAAGATAAGGACAACAATTCAAACAATGTAAATATTCATCAGTATATATTTTCGAACTATGCTATAGAAGTCCCGGGTAGATGCCCTACCCGAATGATGTCACAAATGATTTTGGAGTGATTATACTGTAGAATTTCCAAATCCTCACAGACTGGAAAATTGATGCAAATAAACCAGACATAGTCATAAAAAATTTCAAAAATGGAACCTGCCAACTAATTGATAGGATTTGTCCGCAGGATTCCATTGTTTCTAAAAAAATTCCCAAACTGTCAAATTATAAGGACCTTCAAATCAAAGTAAAAAAAAAAGACCTGTAAACTTAAAACTACGATGATCCCTGTTGTTGGGATAGAAAGCATTGGGTAGGATAAAGAAGGGTACCGAAAATCATGTGAGTACAATTCCTGGACACATCAGCACCTCAGAATTGTAAAAGATTACTTTAAGTGGGACTGCATATATTATCCGCCAAAACCCTCTGCATCTAAACAAAACGCCCGAAAATGTGCATAGATAACTCTTCTACACTTCCCTTTTTAGTCATAGACACCGGGAGGGGGAGGAATATTTGGTAATTAGGTACTTAGAACTACTCTCTGGCAAGATGATACCACGCACAATAATGATAATAATATGAATATGAAAATGAATTTAAAAATCATACTTAAACGTATTTCTTACATCTCACGTTCGTCTTGGGTATGACGATAAACTACATCCGGCAGGAGGAAATCTGATCAAGAGACTGGAGATTTTGAGGAGCGTTGAACCACCTCTTAATTGCTGTTCTTCCAAGACCAACTTGATCTGTAGTAGTAGCACCTGTTAGGGTCACAGGCAAATAGTGATCCCTTTAAACTAAAATCAAAACACTACGTAAGAATAAAAATACATTTTTATAGTAAAAATACCAACAATAGATGTTATAGTAAAATGACATCACTACATTTTATAGAAAAATTGAAGTGACATAAACTGAAAAATAAAAATGGAGAAAGAAGTTTTCACTCCTTGTTTGATTTGTTTAAAGATTATTTGGTAAGAATAAAATGCAACTAAGTCATTATAATTTAATCCTGAAATAATGTCATTCACTTGAATTAATTATAAAGGTTAAATTTTTATATTTGGATTTCGACATTAAATAACTCATGGAGATGTTGATATGCCGCTAAACAAAACAACCAAACAATATATCTTGTGTAGATTTCTCTCCATGCAGTGACCACAATTGCATTTTTCTCCCTGGCTGCATGGCAGCTCACCTTTTTTGCGCACTACACAATACAAAAGCAAATAATAATAATAATAATAAGGGCAACAACAATAATACTAGAAATAATAATAATAATAGAAATAATAGTAATAATGATGGCAACAATAATAATAAGAGAAATAATAATAATAATAATAATGGCAACAACAATAATAATGAAAATGATAATAATAATAATGCAACAATAATAATAATAGAAATAATAATAATAATGGCAACAACAATAATAAATAATAATAATAATAATAATAATAATAATAATGGCAACAACAATAATAATAGCAATTATAATAATAATAATAATAATAGCAACAATAATAATAATAATAATGGCAATAATAATAATAATAATAAATTCCTTCATGGTCCACCCGGTATGGTTTTCATGGCTTCTGATCTTAAATGATAGGAGAAGTTAACATGTCCATTTTTTTTTTTCTTTGTGAATCAAGATAGGCTAGGGTAAATATCCTGTTTAGTGACCGTTTCGATTAACTTGTCAGTTGTCTTACCTTCACCGGTCGGGCGTGTCTCCTAGGGACTGACAAACAAGGCGTCAAAGCTCATATGGGAGAATGGTAGTGGAGCATCGTGGCTGGGGAAATGAAAGGGGTTTGTTCCTTTTAAATTTGAAGGATGAGGCAGCC